CCGGAAGTGAGGCACTCAGCGCACGAGCTCTGCTCAAGATGGGTGTTCTTGTGAAGCCGCAACTGGGTCCCCTCCCTCTGCACACACTGCCCCTGCACCCCACCCCGCTGGCCCAGGACCAGGTGCATGGCAGCACACTATGGTTCCTGGGAGGCCCGAGTCCCTCAGGGGTTGGGGAGGAGCAGGAGGCCGCTGGCTGAGAGCCTGCCTTTGCCTCGGTCTCGCTCCCGTTAGAAGCTGGACGGGAAGGATGGGCAGTGCTTCCTGCTAGCAATCCTCGCCCTGACCAGAGTTGCAGACCAGAGCACAGAGGTGGTCATGGCAGTGGAAGGCCTGAAAGTGCCCATGGTTGAGAAGATCGTGGTGCATAGCATGCACTACGGGATGGTGTGGAGAGGGGGAAGGAGAGGAGAAACCGTCTCATGGGCCAGGAAGAAAGGGAGAGGTGGAGATGAATCAGAGAGAGGGCCGGGCACACATGGGCCTGGGCGTTGGGCTGGGGCAACAGACAAGGGAGATTTTGGTAGAAGCCAGGGGCAGTCCCGCATTTGGAGGGCAGAGGAGAGCGAAAACGGAGTTAGTGAGTGGTTTAACTGGCCTACTTGCGAGGGTGTGGGATGGAGAGGACTAGCTTGGTTGCGTGGGTGGGAGGAGGAAGGGTGAGGCACCTCCCAGGCTGGCTGGGGTTCTGCAGCCTGCATGTGGAGCACTGGGCGGTCTCCCTTGTGGGACGTGGCTGTGGCCTGTGGGGTGCTAAGCTCACCCCTGTCTGGGTCTCCCAGGACATGATGGAAAACATCCCTGTGGAGGCTGACCGAAGGAACATCCTCGCGTACAGCATTGATGCCATCCGCAGCCTCAGGTACTGGGACCTCTGCCTGAGTCTCTGAGCTCCACCATGGACCAGGGGCAATCCTGCCACTCAGGCCAAGATATGCTGGCTGATACCTGCTCCTGTCTCCTGACAGCGACCTGAAGTTGAGCCTGGAGCCAGCCCTGGAGTCGCACCTCCTGTGGGCTGCGATTGAAAAGAGCTTCCCGGTCATAGGGCATGAGAGCCACTGCAACCAGGTAGGGCCGCCTGCCACTGCCCTGTCCCACAAGCCACCCCCTGGCAGGCGTGGCCCCAGGCTCCATGACACTGCTCCTGGGCTGCCCCTCCCCTTCCAGGTCATGCAGCGGCTGTACGTTGGGTACCTGCAGGGCCTGCTGTGCCGCTTCTTGTTCAGCGCCCCTGGCCTGGGCAAATTATACTCGATTTGGGAGGTGAGCACGATGTAGAGGGGCTAGGTTCGGGGAGGGAGAGGCTCTAGCCCTCTCTCCAAGCATAAGGCGATGGCCAAGCCCGAGCTCAAAGCCTGGGCCCTGAGAAGGAGGGCATGAGCAAGGCTGCTGGCAAATCAGGGGCACGTCCCATGAATCTGAACATCTTCCTCCCACAGCACATCAGATTTTGGATCAAGACACCGGATGCCCAGTACTGAGCGCTGGGCATGAAGATCGTCACCGGGGTGCTTGCCTTTGCTGTCCGGCTCCTCCCTCAGTTTGAGGTCAGTGAGGTCCTGCCCCCAGTGTCCTGGTCCCCTGCCATTGTCAGGGCCCTCCTGGGAGAGTCAGGTCAGAGCTGGGAACTGAGCTGCAGACCAGGCCCCCTGGCTCTTTAGGGATCTCCTTTCTGTGGCCTGCTGGAGGCACGGTCAGCTCTGCTCCTGCGGCCTTTGCTAACCTGCAGCAGCAGCAGCAGGCACAGGGAATTCTCCTGGGGCCCTGAGCAAGACCCCGGGCTTGAGGTTGCCGTGGGAAGAAAGGGATGTCAAGCTGCAGCACTAGGATCTCTGCCTCCCAGCCCTCCTGCTGGGTAATGGGGGGAGGTGGAGAGAGTCAACCAGGCCTTGGGTATCAGGTGTGCGGGAAGGTAGGATGCACAAGGACTCTCTGCTCCTCTCCCCCTGTTTAGGGCTCCCCAGATTTGCCTGAGGTGGGGGACATGGCAGCCTGCCTGGGTCTCTCCATCAGTGACCCAGTGGAGAGCATCAGCAGCTACGCCAGGGAGAGCGTGTATTGGCTGGCACAAATCCTCCTACACCAGAGGGGTAAGGACATCCAGCCAGAGCGCAGGACCTGAATGCAAACAGTGGCTCCCAATAGCCGGGGAGGAAGGAAGATTTCTGGGACCAGGGAGCCCATCCCAAAGCCCTCCCCACCCCGGACTGGTCCCAGGATGGCAGGACCCAATTGGCTCCTGCAGAACGATACCGTCCTGACTGCCATAAGCACAGCTAGAGCCATGCTGGGCAGAAAGTGCACACCAAAGCTAGGGTGGCAGCTCAGAGCTACATGTCTGCTCTGTTCGTAGGCCAAGACATGTGAGGGGCAGAGGAGCTGCCCTGGAGGCGCCAGACGGAGCAGAGCCAGGTCCAGAACTACAGGGACCTGGCGAGAGTTGGAGAGGTGAGGATGCAGTGCCCAGCCCTTGCAAAGCTGCAGGTGTGTGGAGAAAGGCCTCCCGCTTGTCTCCAGCTCGCAGGGTTCTTCCTGCTGTGGGTTGGAGGCTTGCAAGTCTCCAGGGCAAGATGGCACCAGGCCCCAGAAGTGGAGCCTGTCCGTGGGAAGTGCCAAGCCTTGCATCTTCTCGTTTCAGGGGTTGAGCAAGATCTTGTTGGAGGAGCAAAAAAGAACTTTCCTTCAGAGAGTCCTTACAGCAGTTCACGGTGTCCAGATGCATGTCAGCCAAGCGGGGCTGGTCTTCCTCTACGCCATCCTGGGGGAAGCCGGCCGCTTGATCGGGCACAAGGTCAGCAGCCACACTGGGGAGTGAGGGGGTGCAGGAGAGTGAACTCAGGGCGCCTGTGGGTCCCCTCAAGTTGCTCTCACCCTATCGCCAGGTGTGGTGGGGAGGGGGCATTGTCACTGTCCTACCACTGGAAAGACAGGTAGGACAGTGACAGCGCCAAACAGTGCTTGGGAGGGAGAAGGAAGAGGGCTGCGTCCCCGCTGCCAGGGGAGGGAAGACTTCACCTGCCTTTGGAAGATGCTTGTGAGTAAGCTACTCTATCTGATTAGATATTTAGCTGGCAGTAACACAGATGCGTAATCAAAAGGCTACCACAGCCAGGCTGTTTGCTCCTTAGGATTTCTAGATATTGCTCTATCCTGTACCCTAGTTTACTCTACCCCCTGTAATCAATAAAGTTCTCCTTTTTGACTGGTGTGGGAGACTTATTGAGGGGTGGGTCTAAATTATGCCTAAGAGACCCCTTAGGTCTGTGGACTAAGGGAGACTATACCTTTTTGCCCCCGGACTTGGGGAAGTAC